TGCACCAACAATTCAGGCTAGACACAAGTTTCTAGAAGGCAACTTGCACTAGTTCTTGTAGTTGTTAAGAGAATCCAACGATGATAAATATTAATTTGTAAAAATATTTATGAGATATTATTATAGAAATATCTAGAATCAAATATGGACCATTGGATCAAATAAATCCTAGCCTTCCATTTCAGAAGGCAAACACTATACATAGGTGGTGAGCTCATTGTAAGGTGTCAAGTAGAGCTTTGTACATAATACAAATAACACTCTCTCAAACTCTTGTGTGTATTCTTTCTTTCCTTAGTCTCATTCTAGTTGTAACAAGTTATTGGCCTCATATGCTAAATCAAAGGTTGACATATGATAGACACGCACACAGAGGTGAATGTGTAAGATTAGATCAAGTAGATTATCATTATGAATATTAACGTACTTTACAATATTTCGATTTTCTATACTCATCCATGGTTATTGATTTGAGAATGTTGTAACATCCCACAAGCTGTTAGCACTGTTCGTCTATGCTAAGCTTGAATTTTAGCACAAATGAGATGATGCGCTAAAGAATGAAGTAAAAAGAACGTACGTAAAGCTGCATGAAATGTAAGGGACGTAGCAGTCAAATATGATCCAAATGTGAAAAAGTCTAGAAACATTGGTGTCTTCAGCTATTTAGAAAGTTCTAAATACACCAACACTTCACGCTAGACACATATTTTCCAGAAGGCAACTTGCACTAGTTCTTGAAGGAGTTCCCTAGAGAATTCAATGATAATTATTGGTAAAAACATTTATGAGATATTTGTATAGAAATTTCTATAATCAAACATGAATCAAAGCCTTCCACTTCAGAAGGAAAACACTATACATAGGCGGTGAACTCATTGTAAAGTGTTAAAGTCCCAAATTGAAGAGAGCTTTGTACATAATACAAATAACGTTCTCCCAAACTCTTGTGCAATGTTTTCTCTCGTTCCTTAGTCTTATTCCAGCTATAGGAAATTCTTAGCCTCTACACTAAATCAAAGGTTGACTTAGCG